AGTCATTCTTCAAGAGTTACCTAAAGCGAACCTAAAAATCTTAAATCTACCTAAAACACTTCAAACTTGTAGGTAGTTTTAGGTTCGAACCCAAAGCTACCTAAAGCTACCTAAAGCAAACCTACAAAACAGAAGTTCTGTCACAGCCACTAGGGGCGCTGATAGCAGGAAGTATCAATGCATTGTGGGTATAATATTCAAACTAAAATCAGTTAGACAGGAAATTTGGAAATAGCCAGGAAAATGGGGAAATATGCTGAAATGACCATCACATCAGTGCTCATTTACAAAGTACATGTAAGTAAGTGTACAAATGATCAATCAATATATTATTTTAACCTCTTGAATACCCAGAATGACGGATATATCTGTCACAGAATTTTTCACTAAAACTGCTCTAACTTTGGCAATTTTTATCCAATCTCCACAAATGGATGTTTTAAAATGAGGGTCTATGTTTACTATTCTTATGAAATCAAACATCAACTGTTGTGTTTTTAGATGTAAATATCAAAATAACTGGCAAAAAATAAACAATACTCTGGGTTCAAACCCTTTTTAGAGGCTGGTATTCAAGAGGTTAAGTGTTATAAAAGCATGCAATTATAAAATAGGAGGAATTTTAAATAAATGTACCTGAGTGAGAAACTAAGCATCAAAATGTGTGAGAAATAAATAAACAGTTGACATATAGCCTATACAGTTCACAAGTTTGTAGGGTCCAGACACCCGGCTACCTCCATAGGCCAGCTTAGGACCATCATTGTAAATAAATGTACTTGCGTGAGAATATATGCATCAAAATGTGTGAGAAATATATAAACAGTTCAAATCAACAAATCAAGTCATCCAGCTGCTGGGTGGTCTAAAGCCAACCCAGCCCTTGGAAGTATTTACCTAATGCGAACCTACGTAGGTTCGCTTTAGGTAGTTTTAGGTTCACTTTAGGCGATGTTCAAATATGCTAATTAGATTCAGGTTCGCTTTAGGTAACCACCTAAAGTGAACCTATAATTACCTAGAGCGAACCTATAATTACCTAAAGCAAACCTACCTAGGTTCGCTTTAGGTAGTTTAGGTAGTTATAGGTAGTTATAGGTTCGCTTTAGGTGATCACCTAAAGTAAACCTAGACCTCATTAGCATATTTGAACATCGCCTAAAGCGAACCTACCAATGGAGTTTTTATATGGGGAACTACCTAAAGCGAACCTAGAAATCCTAGTTAAATATATCACCTAAAGCGAACCTACTGAAAGGCTGGGAAAGTATGCCAATATGCATGTTATTGTATCTAGAATGAAAAATAATGTTTTGCTTTGTAAAAAAATCTTCAAAAATCAAAGAATATTATTTAATAAAATAAAGAAAATTCAATTTATAAAACTTTAAAATCAATTTCTCAAATAAGTACAATTATTTCTTAATTTTGGAATCTCAGGACACCCTTCAAAAAGAATTTATTGCCTTTGAAACTAAGGCAGAAGTACAATGCATTGAAACCAATGATGCCAATACGGTCCCCCACATATTTCCCTCGGTATAAACCCTGTAGCCTAAACCTCCCAGCACATTACAATGTAGCCCCTAAGGGCCGGTCCGCTGGTCATTATCAGGTTATTTTTGATACAGACCAGTTGATTTTTTCACTGGGTATAGGAGAATAACATTGCAACTGGTCCGTAATTCCATTTTGACCAGCAGGTTTCAGATCCTTGGGGCCTAAGACATAACCAATTTTTATTACATGCACATGGAAGAAATTTCAAAATAGAAAAATAATTTCTAATTCATTTTAGATTAATGAAAGTGATGAAACCTCGATTTAGGTAATCACATTTTGTTCATTGGGATGCAGCTATCATTATCCATTCATTTTCTGTTGTTTGCTACTCTGTGGAGTACAATTGGAAATTGAAGCAATTGTAGACGTGGAGACTAAGAGTGGCTCTTTGTAAAGAAATTGAACCAATTTATTACTTTTCCAAAATAAAATGAAGATGATCTAAAAACAATGATCTCAAAAATGCAAAAGAAAGGACAAATCTGAAAAACATACCAGTAATAAAATAACTAAAAGATCCCAGATGTTCAGTGAAAAGCGCAAAGTAAATCATAGATGAAGAGAAAATAAAATAAGTGTTTTAAGGGACTACTAACATAAAGATAACTCCTTACTGATATAGTGTATGGTCAGTAAAAGTTAAAGCTAGTTTAAATAGATTTAGCTTTTTTCCACAAACTATAAAACATCATTTTGAAAGAGATTTCAATAGTATACAGACAGTGATTGCCTTAATGATTACTATATCTAGTATATAACCTATTATTATGTACTCTATTTGAAGAAACAAATAAGTAGTCTTTCATTTTCAACATTTAATGATGACAGCTTCGTATATGCATTTCTATTGCATTTGGCCATTCAAACCCCTATAAGCCCTGGTAGCAGGGAAGATAAAGGGTACTTGATCTAATTAACTGGTCATTTGTACTTTTCATCTTCCCTGGTAGCAAGGATTTAGGTTTTTGAGGAAATTAGTAATTCTATTTCATATCATGTGGCCATGAATAATCCAATGAGCATCCATAATACAAAGAGTAATCGAGGGCATATAATTTGAATATGCATGGGATTACACATACTGTATCATTTTATTTTTTGATCTACTTGTAAAAACATGAAAGGCCAGGCATGCAAACTGGCATGGTATTGTGTTACAAAACAGTATTTCATTCTAGATACAATAACATGCATATTGGCATACTTCGTTTTAATATAAGATTGTTATAACTCCAAGTTTTGCAAGTCACATGACCAATTCTTAGAGAGTTGATTGGTTGAAACAGTTGATATCAGATATGACAATTTGAAATTAGAAATAAGCTGTTTGTCTGGAGATGGTACAATTTCACACTGAATTCTAGCTTAATGAGAGGGAATTGAGATGGGGCATGTATCTGAGATGAAAGCCTGTGTTTCAAATAGTAAAATTCCATGTCTATCTCAATTTTTTTGAAAATGGCAGTTAGTACAAAGTTATTCTCACGCGACGACTTATACTTCCGATCGACAAAAATCAATATTCGCATAACAAAATCCCATTTTCACCCCCCCCCCTCCCTCCCAAAATGAAATAAACAACATTTGATACAATCCCTTAAGTTTTCTAATCTCCTATTGTTAAGTAGGAAATGAAGAGGATGGATCACCTCCAAAACAAATAGAAATTTCCTAACAACTAATATTTACACTTTAGATTGTACAATCAATAGTTAATTTTGATAACAAAAGGTAAACATACTAAAGTGTAATTGATGGGTTTAGATACAAGGGTAGATCTAAAAGAAGAATTTAGGTGAATCTAATGAAAACAAGGCACACACAAAAATGTAATGTTCATTTTATAATTTGCACAACATGCCCAAAATCGAACTTCATACGTGTAATTCTACTGTTTATCATTCTAAAGATTTCAAATCAAACATGTTTTTCTGGAACATGAACAGACCCCTCATTCTGACAATACATACCTTAACATATTTTCTCCTTTACATTAACATTTGGGAGTCATGAGATCCCCAAAAACACCACTTTATTGAAAAGATTCAGACACAGACAACACAGACACACAAAAAGCCTTTAATGATTTCACACAATGGTCCTTTAAGGAAACAATAAGGAATTGAGCAAGCAAGAGGCATAGCATAATCATATGAGTTATTGGCTGAGTTTATGTTAACATTTGTCATCAGCCTATAGAACTGACCAGGGGGTGATAGCAAACCTGCTAAAGAAGGAACATAAATGTCTACTTGAATCTCCATACAGGCCCTCACACTGTCTTTATTACTGGAGGAACAAATGCTCAACAGTATCATAGAGAAGTTGAAACTTTGTGTAGTGTAGGGTTAAAGTGAGTTAAAGTGGCACATCATACCATGTTCATGCATTCTGATACTCGTAACATATTTCTGTTCCACCTGAAATCTCAGGGCTGAGAAGAAATGAGATGTCATGGTTTATCATGATGTACTGCATGTCCATTCTTTTAGAGAGATATGTTTTATTTAAAAACAAGACCATAGCCACATGTGTTAATCTTTGACACATTTAATCAATCGCAAAATAACATATTGAGTAGGTCTGAGGTTGAAGTATGCACTTGAATTATTGTGGCTTTGAGAATAAAGGATTTTAGAGAACTGGATTAATATGCCCCAATATTAATATTGGCTGGCTGGTGGCCTGGGTGGCTGTCAAAAAACATAAACAAAGATAATATTTCTTCATGAATGCCAATTTTGTCACAATTACAAAAATCTGCTTGGCTCTTCTTCATTTTTGTGTACTTTGTACTGACTGATACCCCTTAGGTAAGTACACCCTAGACCACATGTCAGGAAAATAATACTTCTGTTTGTTTGTGGAAAGAGATACTAAATATTGTGACATCTTAAACCACATGTACAAGGTGCAAAATATGGTCAGAGCTCAAGGGTCTTCCAGTAATGTAGTATTGTCAGATTCCTCACTAGGGATTCAAACCAAACACTGCTGGAGATGGGGGACTCTATCATGTCGTATTAACAACAACAAAAACACTACCATGGCACTGCCTGGGTTTTGCATCAAATGTGTTGAAATAAGACATAACTAATGCATTTTTATAATATTGATGACATTCTGAGTTTGCTATAAATCGATTGAGTCATCATTAGGATCAAGAACTTTTAACTAAATGTTAAATCAAAATTAATGTTTTTGAGACCACCCCCAAAGTTTGAGAAATGAGGTTAAAGTGAACCAAAGGTAGATCATAGAAGAGATTCCTCACTGGACCAAGTCATGGACTAATTTACTCAGCCAATTTAGCAGATTCTTTGACTGTATTTCTTTGTGTGCCATTTCAGGTTCTTTGAAGTATATAAGAGTGGATGTATTTTAGCCATAGCCATAGGGACCACATATTTTACAACAAGGATATTGTATTTTGACAGGTATCCCTGGAATTATCAGGAGATAGAGTAGCAGAGTAGCTCTGGACTCTGGAGGAGATAATACTCACAGATTCAAATATAAGTGGTGAGTAAATATTCATATTTCATTTGTATCATTTATGATCAACATTGTTTGGGGTTTATTGTAAAAGATTTGGTCGGCATGGTGATATCCAAATTACAGTAGAGCTGTCTCCATAACAATTGATCAACTGACACTCAATCTATTCTGAATGTGACAAATCATTTCTGGACTTATTGAGGTTGATTTAAAAAAAAGTTTTATATAACACGTATGGTATCTCATTATTTCAATTGTCCCTTCCTCAAAAAAGGTCTGCATTATTTTAACCATTTTGTGGTTACAAAGTGGTGATTTCTGTTTTATATGAAGATATCAAATGTTATTTTAATAAGGAGCCTTTCACCAGGAGATTTCACCTTTGACAAGCTGAATCAACCTGTTGTCTAACATTAAAGTGGGACCCCTCGTCAGGTTACCAAAAAATATGTGACCCTACAATAAGTCATTAAAATCTCAATATTTTTTATGTTCCTTAATTTTCTATATCGGTGATGCATATTGAATTTGAAAATTTGAAAGTTCGATATGATCTATTCATACACTTATTTGCATCATTATGCAAGTATTTGACAACAACATTCCCATTATTTGAAATAAATCTATCAATGAAACTCGACTTTTATGCGAGGAACCTTAGAATACTTTATCTTGTTGAGAAAATATAAGAACATCACTGTCTGGGAATTTATCAAAACCTCAACATTATTTTTTGCTGTCAATTTAAGGAGCCTTGATTGTGATTCTGGTTCATTTTTCAACACATTATGAAATAAATGTTCTAGATGTCTAGATTAACCCATTTAACATTGTGGTAGATGTTAATAGAATGTCTGTAGGCTGTTTTGTCTGGAGTGTTTCGGGAACCAGGATCTTGTGTTTTGATAAGTGAATTTACACAGGTGAGAATGACTTCATAATGTGGTATGGTGTCCTCAATTTGCAGGTGATAATACAGTGAAACATGTTAAATGGAGCACCTCCAGAAACACCCTTGTTAGTAGAACAACCCTTGAAGACCAACTGACTTATCTTTAAATGAACCTCTATAAGTGAAACACCTCCCAAGTGGAACACATTTAAGAGGTACCAACGGTGTTCCTCTCAGACAGGTTCATCTGTATTTACAATATTCAGGTTTATCTGTATTTACAATATTTAGGTTTTTCTGTATTTACAATATTCAGGTTTAACTGCATTTACAATATTCAAGTTTACCTGTATTAACAATATTCAGGTTTAACTGTATTTACAATATTCAAGTTTACCTGTATTTACAGTATTCAGGTTTAACTGTATTTACAATAATCAGGTTTAACTGCATTTACAATATTCAAGTTTACCTGTATTTACAATATTCAGGTTTAACTGTATTCAGGCAGGTTGCATCAAATCAGTTTATTCAAATAAATGACTTTAGCAAGCATGTATGATGTGTTTACATATTATGCCTTAAAATGGTAAGATCTATGAAAAGAGTGGAAAGGTTGCACTGAAGTTTATTCAATGAAAGGATAGTACAATGTATTTTAAGTTTCTAAAGTGCTAAAAAGTTCAGTACAATAAGTGCTTTCAATCTAGAAAGAACATTTATTCATAGAACATTTCTGTTATTACTTGAAGTTGAAAATCAGTTTTAATTAGCAATAGAATACTTAAAATCACTTCAATAATTAATTTCATAAAATCACTTTAATATCAATCTTTAAACATGTATTAACGGTATACTGAATCGTGTTATTCGCACCCAGGTGGCCGCTACCAAAACATTATTGTTTTCATTTTATGGTCTAAAAAGTGTTTTGTGATAATTCAAGGAAGGAAGTTAGGTTTGTGGTTCAATCTGTCACTGTTTTAACGTACAGTAGTTTTATTTGTTGATTCATGATCAATAGTTTCAAAATACGACTGAAAAATTACTCATCAGGTGGTTGGGGTAGTCACAGAAATAATATAGAACACCATAGTAACTAATAGAAAACAAACAAGAAAATAAAAACAAACAAGTTGAACTCAGATATAAATAGATAGAAAAATAAAAAACGAGAAGTTGAATTCAGATATAAATAGAACTGTTTATAATTGATCGAATGTACAAAGGGCATCATCTAAATTTTATGATTTAGGAAGTACAAAAATCATCACTTTAAAGATTACAATGTAAGATACCATAAGAATCAAATTTGATTCAATTCAATTGAATCCCTTCTGCCAATTTTCTATATCTTCCATATTGATAGTTCATATCCCAAACCTGACGTAAATGTCCAAACATATCCAAATTTCCAAATAAGAATTTAGCAGCAGAGTAACATTTCTACCAATAGTATTATAACCCAAAAAATGTACAGTTTTTTTCCTGCTAACAGTTGCTACTGTTTAAACAGTCAATTAAATCCTGATGGACAAGTGTCTGTCAGGAATCAACATATGCCCTCATGTGTATGCAGTTTTTTCTGAAATCAAAACATGATTTGGCCCAGATTTAAATTAGCATAGGAAGTTTAGTTGTTTTGACAAGTAAGCATTTTTGTCCCATGGGTATTTTGTTTTCTTTGCTTCTGGTTTTGAAAATATTATTTGTCTGTTTTAGGATTAGTTGTTGATATTTCTGATCTAATTTTTAACCTAATTGTGTGTTTAGGCCAGTAGAATCAAATTTACAATTGGCATCGATTTTGTCAGAAAAGGACCAAGATTTTTTTCCTTGTACATTTCCATTATCCTCAAAACAGAGCATCAGTGTCATTATTAAAATAAAATTAAAAATGTAAAGATTACAATTCAATTGATATTGAAGCTAAGACAGACTGTTTAGGATAAAATATTTTTAGGAGAAATACGGTGAACATATTCTTAGTTACCTTAGCCTTATCATTGTCTTTGGCTGGATATGTGTATTTAATACTGCCCACCATCAGTGAATTACCTCTTACCACAAATTGCAAAAACATTAAATGAGCCATGCAATCCTACATTTTCAATCAAAAGAAAAAAGAATCAACAAACTTTGATCAAGCTGTTTCGTATTTAATATTTTGAAGTTTTGTAACAAATCAGTTGCACTAACTTACCTTTTTATCAGTGGTTTCATATTTGAGTTGATCCCCTGATGATAACTCAACCCTGTGAGGTGATAGTCTTAAAATTGGTTGCAGCTTGTAGTAAATCTTGGAAGACATCCCTGGAATGTAAGAATGATATGTTAGAAATATTGCAAAAGGAGGATACCTATGGTGAGTGCATGGTGCAGTCTGACCCTGGAGTATCACGCAGATTTATCAAAAATTATAGTTGTCAGAGATAAATATGTCAATTATTTTGAACATGACACAAATTTCAACCAGTTTCATTGATGTTTTGATTTTCTATTCAAACAATAAGCCTAATAATATTGAATCATAACAGACTAGATAAAGAAATAATCTTGATTTTCAAAAGTCATATCATATTTGAAAACTACATGAAAATAACATCTAAATATTGTTTATCAACTTTGAAATATCATTTTTCTTTGGAAATGTGATCTCTAGATCAGGTACTGAAATATCATTTATTTTATGGAAGATATTTTGTGTAACTATTTATTCTCAACATCTGTTTATGATCAATGTTTAAGTAAGCTTTTTCTATTTTTGGATAATTATAGAGTTTTGAAAGTTGTCCCTCATTTGTGAAAAAAGTCTAAAGAATTTTATCATATTCACTTACATCTTTAATTTGGCTCTCCCACCCCTTATGATTCCCAAATCTACCCAGGTGTAGATTGTTTTTAGACTGTAGTTTTTAACTATAAAAATTAAAAATTAAAAAAAAAATTTTAAAAATTAAAAGAAAGCCTCTTGAACAAGCCAAAAGTGTTCAATAAGTAGGTGTTTACATTTTAAAGAATAAACATGTAAGTCAATGGGGGAAATGATTTTGAGATGGAGAAAAAGTGTTCACATTACAAGGTGTTCAGATAAGTTGTATGGATATACAGGTTTCACTGAACTACTTAAACTACTAGATACAGAGGAAAGAGAGACATTCTAGAACATATATGATGGAGTTTATCATGGACACTCACAGTGTGCAGTTATCTCAGGAAGAAACCAGATGAAGTCACTCCAAAACAATAAGTGCATTTTAATACCACCAAGTGCATAAAATAAAAAAATTAGGAGATGATCTCATAGTTTATCGGATTATTGGATTAACATGATTCACTGATAGCATGCAGAGTAATTAACACAATGTAGTTTAAATACTAAGCCACATATGTGCTAATTGTTCATTTATCTTTTATTGACTGAGCCAGCTATTGCCATGATATAACATAAGAGTGCACACTGGACTGTACCCTGCGTGCAGAGTCTAGTTAAACTACTAGAAGACGAAGCTCTCTTTTAAGAAGTGAAGTCAAACGAATGCAAAGGGTAACTGGACTGTTCAGTCAGATAAAAACAATAGAAATACATAATTAATCTAAGTAACAATGTACATGTATCATAGAATCATATATTTGACCAGAAATCACAAGGGGCAACACCATGAAGAATAACATCAACTGTAGAACAGTAGATCGGTCCCGATCAATTTTGTGATAAAGGATTGACTGTTTTTTCTGATGTTGCCCGATGTGCTTTCTGATAAATAACTGACCACATGGATCAAAGCCAGAAATTATCATATATACTACTAATTACATATAATATGCATACATGTTACAGGTATACATATAACAGCCTGGCCCTAACCATGCATAATGCAATACGGGTGGTTATAATTATAGCACATATTGCACTAAATAAAACATTACAAAATTAACATATTTTCTGCACAAAATAATAACAGTGCAAACATAGAGTATCAGAAAATACAATTAAATACAAAAACACAAGTATCAAGCTAGTCTCAGATAACACAATTTTGGCAGATCATGAAAATCAAAATTATTTAGGAGAACTTCATCAATGGACTGCAGACAGGCTCTGATTTACAACATTGCAACCAGATGTGAT